TCAAAGGTGTCGACATGATTGCAGTTTATGGAATTCGTTTCTAAATTGTTGGATATATGAACTGCAAAACTACACCGTTAGCACTGACTGGAAATATAAACAGTAATTAAGAAAGAACAAATTCTTAAACCGTGTCGTGGTAAGAACAACTGCCTTAGAAACGAATTCGCCATGATGTGTGTAATCGCTGCAGTAGGCGGACCGTCCCCTGAGGTTAACACGGTCGCTCCGAATTCCGTACACCCGAAACCGGAGTGGACTGCTGGTGGTATTGTACTTCTGATCGGAAAGCACTTAGAGAGAACTCATAGAGAGAACTTTAGAAAACACTTTGTAAGTGAATTGTGAATGTTTTTGAATGAGTTGAGAAGCTGAATATAGCTCTCTATTTATAGGCTAGAAATAAGGTTAAAATAGTCTATAAAATTTCAGGATTAAATCTCTTATTTGTAACAACTGAAACGTCTAGATGAATCTGACTCAGAAATAGTCCAGGTTCATTGTATCATTATTCAGCTGTTATAACTCCCGAAATTATATCATGTAACCCCTGGAATTAAATCAAATAACTCCTGTAACTCCTGATATTAACAGCTTGTCTCCTCTGTACAAAGCTGTAAATCAGTCCAGGTACATCTTAACGTTTCTGATTTAATTTAGGAATAAACTGTTTAATTTCTGATAACAAATAATTCAGCTGTTATTATTTGAAATTCAAACAGTCCTCAGCAGCCTATAAATATCAGTTGATATCTTTCACATTTTCCATTTGTTTCTTTCAAAGAGAAATTCCTCAAGAATTTTTTCTAAAAAGATAGTATCCGCGCGGACGTGTCGAAGACACGTATTACTATTACTATTACTATTACTATTACTATTACCACGACCACGACCTCGACCTCGACTTCGACTTCGACCACGAGCCGAGCCGAGCCGTGCCGAGACGAGACGAGACGAGACGGACGGCAGCGGCGGTGCGCGAGAGCCCATCTTGTTCTCTATCACTCAACAAGGAAGTGGGAATGTCAAGCCTTAAATACTATTCCCAATAGTATTTCCAACACTATGTGGGATTGAGCATTACCAACATTCATTACACATAAAAGATAAGATATCAACTTAGGGTTCTATTAACTTACTTGAATCCATAAATTAGTAACACCAAATTAAAGCTTAGAAGACTAGCAAATAATGTTTAAAAAGAAAAAAGATAAGGGCAACTGGCACCATAAAATTTATCAAAATGTTACAAATTGGTCTTTAAATTTATCAAATTTATCACTGTCTTGCAACATAGAATAATAATTTCGTAATAACTTGATAAGTTTAATAATTATTTTATAGTTTTTAAAATGTCGGTGATTAAAAATATATTTAATATAATTTAGTGATCATTTGTGTACTTTATTTATAAATAATCTCATAATTATATATTGGATAATCTGAAGTGATTATAAGATATTATTTGTTCAAAATTTTTCTTAACCTATTGACAATACATACATCTTGTAGATATAACTGCTCGAACATGAAATTTATAGGAAGAATAATATTTCTTTTTACAATTAAAACCACTAAATGATTTTAATGTTCGGGGTTTAGGGTTAGGAATACATTGTCTATATTTTTCATAGGGTTAGGTAGTGAAAAGGATGCCCAGCATTAGTAGGTGAATACCGGGAAAATCCATTGTTGAAGAAGAGTTGGAATCCACTTGAAATGCTCGAAGAGGACATGGACATCCAACATATGCTTTCAACCCATTAATCACCCCCACCCCCAGCTCTTTCATACGTGTAAAGAGAGGTAATTAACCAAACCCATGATGAGGTTCGTCAACACAATTAAACTAAGTATTCGAAAGCTCCAATTATTGGAGGCGAAAGATATCACTACTAGGGTTGTAATTAAGACGAGATAAATTATGAGCTATTTGATATCCGGATTTGATAATATAAGATTTTCATATACTTAAGGTTTATATTCGAACTTGAACCGAACTCGAATTTGAGCTTCAATTGATCCAAGTCTGAGAATGTTTTAAGTTAAAAAAGATTTAGTTAGAGTCGCACTTCAATTTTTTGTTTCAGTCGACCTTGAAAATTTTAAGCTCACAAGCTTTCAAGTCGAGTCGAGCTTCAATTTTTTATTTCGAGTTCGAGTCGAACTTGTCTATTTTAAGCTAAAAAAAATTTTAATCGAATAAAACTCAATTTTAAACTTTTCGAATTAAATCAAGTTCAACAATACTCAAATTCGATTATACTCGTTTACGGTTCTAATCACTACCCTCCCACTCACACCATTTCCCTAACTATGTGTCTCGAAATAAAACATTTTGATATTCTATACTTGGTTTTCGAGGATTTCCTTTCAAAGCTTTAATGCTTCTTGCTCCCAACAAATCATAGATGCTTTACTATATTAAACAGCTCCTAAGCCTGTATTATAAAAACTCTGCCCATGATGTGGTGGGACAGTTGAAGTCCCATTCCCATAACCTATTTTTTATATTAAAAATATATGAAAACAGTCAATTCATCTTCTATCTTTTAATGCATTAATTGATCTTTCGTTTTGAGATGTTTGCTCTATAGAAAATGATCCCAGCATGCATGCTTTTCCATTGATTAATTAATATGTGTTGTAAATACAGTTTTTAAAATTCTTGACAGTATTCTAATAATATTTTTTAAAATAAATTGATTTGTACGAAACAATAAACTTCTCTCAAATAATACAATAAAAATTCTTAAAACTCACCCGCAATTCAAGACCTAAATTTATATATATAAGCATATGTCAACTTGAATAGAAAATCTCCTATTTTTCATTTTATTTTATTACATATTTATCTATAAAGTAATTCATTAATATTCCTTTTTAAATGAGCAAACTTACACACGAACCAACTTCCTTCAGTAGTTAAAGGAATCGTTGATCTTTCTAGAGGTCACGGATTCGAGCACTAATGACGGCAAGAGTGATTGAACGTTTATTGTCAAATGGTTGAGGGTATTTAGAACACATACTACTTTGTAATCACCTTTAGTTTAATCAAAAGAAAAATGTGCAAACTTACTGAACAAAAACCTTACCTAATGTCTTCATCCAACAAGTAAAATTTATAGGGCGACAGTGACTTTGTCAAACAAGGTTTTTTGAGAAACACCATTTGAACAAGTTTTTAGTTTTCAGTTTTTATTTTTTTAATATGAAATAATATTCTAAAAAATCATAACACCGTTTGAACAAAATTTGCCAACAAAATAAATTGAAGATGTTTTGATGGAAATCAATCAAATCAATGTTTGATCCAGTGAACATCGACTCGGCCACAGATGAAAGAGAAATACGTTTCATCAAATTTTTACACCACAATACTTTAATTAGAATTAATAAGCTTGTCGTATTTTAGTGGTATTCTTTGAACTTGTTTAAACCAGGTCTGAGGGGCCTGGTTTCCACCATTATATACCTACATATATTATATGATTGATCAGATATTGACTGTTGAAAAGGTTCCCAACTTAAAACGAGTTTATATATCTTAATTACTTCAATAATATATATATAAACATAGGGGTACCTGATAATTGGGACATGAAGATCGAGATGTTTCTGTTTAAAGATTGAAAAATAAAAGTAACATGGAGAGAGAAATGGAGCCTACACTTCATTAAAAAATAATTACTTTTAATTAATATAATTAGATCGTGAAGCACTGGAGCAAATGAAGCTGTAAACTGGAATATCAAAGGACTGGTTTTCTCGCCATTATTTGGGCTTGTTTAAGTTGTTGGAATTATTAAAAGAATTGCACCTCGTTGATTAAAGAAACCCAACTCAAAAGTTTTTCTTCTTTTCAGAAAAAATAATATAAAATTTGGGTTCAACTTCTAGTTTTCATTTGATGACAAAAATAAGATATTCAAAATAAAATGAATGATTTATTTTCTTCTAATATTATAGATATCTATAATAATTTATATTATTGTATTTATTTTAAAAATATATATCAATAACTAATAAATTTAAACTTTTAATTATTTAGTTTTACAATAAATAAAAAAACTAATGTTGATATATATAATAATAATAACATTTATATTATCAACAATTGGGTCTAATGAAGTGAGACATTAGATCTTTTAAACAAAGTCAAGAGTTCAAATCATGACTTTATTAATAAAACAAATTAAGTTGAGAGGATCTAATTAATTGATCAATAGATTAGATACCAAGAGTTAAATAAAAATAATAATGACTATATTTATTAATCAATTATATTTGATTATTTTAAAACCTCAATAGATTAGTACAACTATATGGACAGTTCAAGTTCTTCATAGTCTTTTGACATAGTTGCCAGGTCTGAAAAAACATTTTTACGGACAAAAGGCAATGACACGAAAACCTAATTACAATTAGGCCGGATATCAGGTGGGAGAGCCAGCAGCAGCATGCTCTTTGACAATATGCTGCTTTGGTTTCGAATTTTCGGAACATATCATCACATCAGATTACCATGAACATTGAACACGCATTACTCTCTTCAATGTGCTTTCCTATTCAAAACAATCTTTAATACATTTTCTACAATACTCTGATAACATTTAGATTAGCAGTCCATCTCCTGCAGTAGAATGACCATTTGCATACACAACACAATGGCATATCAGATAGAAATTCACTGGAAAGGAAAATAAATTTCTAAACATCTCTAGTACGAGCGCAGTTTCCGTAAAGCCATCTACGTGCACAAATACACGAACCAACACAAGTGCATGTGCATTGTGAAGAGACAGGAATCAATCACAAACAATAAACAATTACAATTTTGAGACCGTAAGGAAATTCAAAGTTCAAACTTAAGACTTAGCTATACATGCAGGCCTTTCGAGAAAGAAAACAGAATCTGAAAATTAAACCAGGATTAATAATCTGTAGCAAAGAAACATCTTAGAGGCTATTTAAAAACCATCAAAATGGTCACTTAATAAATCCAAAGTACATCAAATATTTGATATATGCCCTCAATGATATGAAAATTAACACTTATGGTCCACAATAGCTATGGATGCATTCTCAAGTTCTTTTAAATAAGGACAAACATATTTCACTCTGAAATTCTTTTCGGACATATTAAAAATTGTACTCAGGCTAACTTTCCTTCTTAACAAATTCTTACTTTCCAGAATCTCAATTACCTGTAGGCGAGGCTTAAGCCTATGCTCAAGGCTGTAAGTAAACACCATCGGGTAGCTTATTATAAGAGAAATACCTACATTCTTTCTTGTAAGCAAAAAATCACTGATTTCCTTGATCTTCCTTTCTGATACAGAAAACACATGTGGTATCCTCCTAAATGTAGAGTTGATATCATCTTCAGAGAAACCCAACTTCCTAAAAAGCTTCAACTTCTGTTCCCAAGTATCCTCACTCATTGAAGCCAATGTCCTAATAGCAACAATAAACATAGTCGACTTCCTATCGATTCCCATGTCATCTGCCCTTTTAACAAACTGCTTAATGCTCTCAAGTTTATGCAAGAAAAATCTAGGATAGGGAAACAAAAACGAAACAATTTGCGACGAACTAACTCCGCAACTCCTCAAGAACTCTATGTTAGGCATCATAGTCTTTTGCAAATCAAAAGCCAGAAACCAAGACAAAATTTTCAGTAACTTAACAACATTGGCATTTGACCCTAGAACACTCTTTAAATACAAAACCGAAGGTACTATTCTATCATTCACGCTTCTAACCAAAATCGAGGGATCGGTAGCTATCAAATCAGCAAAATCATTGGTTGAAAATCCTAAATCCCGGAAAAACTTGAACTTGGGTTGAATGGTTTTCTCAAGACTGGAATTTAGAAGTTTAGGCTTCTTTTGTAAGGTTTCTTCAATATGGGATTTTGAGAAACCGCTTTCTTTTAAGAAGGAAATTATATTATCACACTTAGAAGGGTCCTTCACATTGCTTAAGGAAGATGCAGTTTTGACGGCAATTTCATGGGATAAGTTGTGCTTTTCGATTAAGTGATAAGCTAAAGAAAATGAAGATTTTGATTCCTGGGTGGCAGCAGAGACGAAGAAAGCAACAGAGATGGGATAACAAGAAATGGGTTTCCGAAAACAGGATGATTTATTGAGAGACAATGAGATAAGAGATCTGATAGGGGGTGCCATTTTTCCCCTTTTTTGAGGTTTTACAGGTTAGATTCGCTGGTCTTCTTTTAGCATAACTAACAGAATTTACAGAGATATTGCTGATAAATCTTGCCTGTAACACCAGCTTCCGTCTTCCTTCTGACACTGATATTGCTGATAAATCTGGGTTCTTTCGGTTTCACGACCTACAGAGAGCAATACTCTAAAACAAGTTATTTGGGTTTAGGGCACAAATTTAGCTTCAGATGTTCGGGTTTTGCGCCCACCTTGTATGCCCAATAGTTTTGGGTCACAAGTTACAACATTTCTTTTCTTTTTCCCTATTGCATTTCCACTTTTTTACAAGTTCGGTATGGTTATTATTATTTTCTTCTTATATGGTGTATTATTTAAGTTTTTTATATTTAATTAATTAATTTAAATTAATAAAGGTCCATTATAGATTATTTTTTCTGACTTAATTTGTTTTATTTAAGATATTAAGACGTGTTTGGTTTACGGATCATAAAATTATCTTTTAAAATGAGATTTTAAGATTATAACACTACCTTATTAAAATTATAAACATGATTTACTGTGGCCTGCAATAGGTCAATCCAAATGACATTTAGGTTAGCAGTCCGCCTCCGGCAGCAAAATGGAATATCAGAGTAGAAGTTCACCGGAGAGAAAAATAAAATCTCTGAATAATTACAAGTACTAACACACTTGCCGTAAAACCTTCTATATGCGTATATAAATAAATTTAGAAATTGGAGCAAATACGGTAACCATCACAAGTGCATGCGCATTATAAGCTTGGCTATACAAGCAGGCTTTCAAGAAAGAAAACGGAGTCTGAAAAATGTAATATTAGTAGTCCATTGCCAACAAAACATCTTAAAATTATTAGTGATGCATAATATATATAGATAATGATTCAATCTTCAACGCACAATTTTTACTAGTAATAATCATAGACAAATGGATACAACTGCAAGAATTTTTTAAAGATACATATGATATAACCTGAGAAGTTAAGATATTGCAAAGCTGAACTCTATTGGCACTTGATATCTTGGACATTTCTGGTCACCAAATTTACTATCATGGCGCATCTCATTTCTGCAGATTTCTTCTTCTTGATCAATTTCATCAACTGCACTTTCCCACTCAATTTGGAATGGCAGTTCACTTCCAATAACCCTGATTCAATATCACTTGCAAGCTTGAATTATTTGGTATATTGCTTGAGTTCAATTCCACAGCGACATTCATCTTCTTTGTGGATCTTGCCTTGCTTCTTCCTTTAGCAACCAATGCATCTCCAACTCCAACTCCCCCGTAATCGAACGAAATGGTGGTGTTTTGGAATTTGAAGTGGCCGAAATTTGTGTTCTTTACGGCAACTTGGGCGTTGAGTTTAATGCTGAAAGAAGGAGGGTTGGGGGCGGACGCCGTGAGATCCTGGACGGTGATAGAGTGAACCCTGAACTTGGGATTTTTGAAACGCATGACTGTAAGTGAAAAAACCAAGATGACAATAGTCTGGAAGATGGCGAAAGCTAATGCGTAAACAATCCATTTCATGCGTTTCTTTCGCTTCAGCTCCTTGGAAACCTCTGCAGCAGACTCCATTTCTGTCTTTTTCTGTTGGTAACTTTGATCCGCCATTGCTGTATTCTGAAAAGGAAAAGGCTACTGTTTTTTCTTCCTTTTGCCTCTTGGACTTGTTATATTGGAGTTTGAAAGAGAAATAGCTGAGGATTGAGGTATTAGTATTAGCTTCATGTATATATATAATTACAATGTACAAGTGGAAGTTGATATCGTTAATGTAACATAGTACAAAACATTAGCTAGGAAAAAGTTAGAAAACTGAATCCAATCCAAACCTAACCACAACCCACCAAAGAACAGTTCAAGCTCTCCAGTGTGTAATTAGTAAATATAAACTCTTCTTTGACTAAGCATGAAATGCTTCTATTTTGTCAGGCCAAATATTCCACTTTCTACATTTACATAAGAATCAGACTTTGAAGTTTCGAAAGAGCTTAAGATTTTTTTTTTTAAAACATATTAAAATATGTATATTTCAGACAATAAATTGTTACGCTGAGGTTCTCGTAAAAAAAAAGGATACATGTAAATGGTACAATTGTTTTGGTCCCAATGATCTTTGAAGCAAAGCAATTACTAAAAAGAAGTGAAAATTAGCTCGACATAACTTGCTTTAATTCCTTCCCAATACATTTGTTTGATACTGGTGACTTTGTGGTATATGTTGCTTAAAAGTTTACAGAAGATCCTACACGGCTAACTACTTTAGTGGTGTCAACTTAATACGGTTTTAATATCCTGAAATATTATAAAATAAAAAATAGAAGAAAGGGATAAATTATAAAGTTCAATGCAGTCACATAATATGGAAAAATATAAAAATAAATGTTAAAAAAAACAATTCATTACAGTGTATATGACACAAAATTCATAGACGTTATATATCAGATTATGGTTGAACCAACAAGTGGATATTATCGATCATATCATGATTGAACCGATGAAATTACCAACCCGATCATGGTTTAATTACCATATACTTCCTCTTAAACAAACCACCCGATATAACATAGCAAGTATACCATGCTTTCATGATGCAGAATCAGAATCAGGATGCATGTACCGATCAAGTTTACTTCAGAAACATACACACAAAGATTAGACATGACAACCATACATACAATTCAGAAGGTAGACCATAACAACGGAAACAAAAACTCACAAAATTCAAATATGTTACCTTTACAAAAAAACAATGCTTAATCAAACTTAACAACAAATTAACTAATTTAATATTCATTAAAAAATTAAATCAGCTGTAGTTTTCCAACAAACCCGCTTATTCCTCTAAAGTTTAAATTGATTTAATTACTTTAATTCGTTTTTTTTAAAATTAATTTTAGGTGAGTCGGGTAGAGTGAAATACTATTCACGATAAATATTTAAATATTAAAAATTGAATTTATCAAAATATTTTAAATTAAATCAAATTAATAAAATATATAAATTATTTAAAGAAGACTTTCACAACCTGGGCTATAGCTGTAAAAGGAAATGTTCATTACATAAACTTTTCTTTTCCTTACAATTCCGATTTCAGCACGATGTTTAACTCAAATGAATGACAATAACCTTTTCAAGAAAACTAAACACAATCAAATTAATTTGAATAGTAAGAATCAAATGTCCTGCTCACTTGCAATGTGCCGCCAACACATTATATCCTTCGTTTATATGCAAATCATGTTATTTAGACTCGAGTAAAATGTCAAATTTATGCAAATCATGTTATTCAGACTCGAGTAGTGTGTCAAATACAAGTATGTGTCCGACCCGGACGAAGCTCCTTTATAAACTTGGAAGAAGGCGCCTCATGTACGTATCCGATTAAGTGTTTTAGGAAAAACGATGAGTCAGACGAACACGTCAAGCAACGCCTTCATAGTTATTTAATTCTCCCCATACTGTCTGCTCAACCTCTTCCCATGATTCTGCTGTTTTGAGTTCAGTCCATATACTAAATATAGCACCCAATACATTCTCGTCATGCAAAATGCAGTAGCACCTGCAGATACAAAATAACCAGATGGTTTTTTTGGCACTAAACATGACAAAAATGATATCGAGGAGAGAATATAACTCATTATTACTTACATGGCATGGTACGAAAGTCGTCTGAACTTATCACTAGCAGTGACCGATCCATGCTCTGGTGTTTTTTGCATCAACGGAAGTTTATAGCTTTGGAGAAACTGCTTAAGGAGACATGAATTGCCTCTAAAGATATCCAAATGCAATGGTATCACGTCACAAAGGGGATCACCTGAAAAATTAAATCCAATTCAAGTTGTGATGGATGGCATCAAATTGCTCTACTTTCAAATATAAAACCAATGACTCGAGTTATTCTGACTCTTATTTGTCCAACAAGCGTATGTGTACTTATTTTTAAGTTTTCCATGTATTTAGAGGGTCCTTGGAGGGGAACTATCCCCATGTCTAGGTATGCGTCAGTTCCGATACCAGACACAAGTGCTCACAGTTACTCATTTTTTTCAGTGTTCCAAGGGTTTATTCGTTTTAGGGACAAAGGAACATTCAATCCCTGAACTTGACAATTTTTCCCAATTTGGTTCGCAACTTTTTTTGTCCACAATAATCCTTGATTTTTTTGTCATTTTGATAAAGTGGCACGCTGAGATTGTGTAAGGCTCAGGGAATAATGTGTCAAGTTCAGGTGCTAAAAATGAGAAAAGTTGTCAAATTTAGGGACTAATGTGGGCCAAGAAAAGTTCAAGAACCAAGTTGGGAAGAGTTGACAAATTCAAGGAAAAAATTTTGCTTTATCCCTTCCTTTTACCAGGAGAAATAAAAAAGCAAATCATGAATAACAGGAAAGTGCTGTGGTTAAACTTGGTATAAGCAAACATCATATTAGGTTTAAAATATCATTTGCATTAATCTCGGTATCAGTTCATTATGTTTCCGCAATTCAATTCCATGAAAGAGATGAACGAATTAAAAACGAAAACAGCTTTAATCATAGGAACAACGAATGCAATCAGATTAAGGAAGTACGCTGACCTATAGAAATATTGCTGAAATCAAGGATGTAATTCGCGCGCCATGATTTTGCTTCTCCATCATTACCATGCCCATTCACTGAACCGTTATCCATTACGGCAGCTATTCCATTTGTGCCAAATGGACGGCATGTTTCCATGTAAACATTATCATCCATAATATCCGAGTGTATCCACGACAAAGGCTTAAAAACTCTTTTCATGCCATTTTCCTATCAATAAATCAATAATGAACAGCGTTAGGTATAACTGTGCAAGATATTCCAAACATAACATCAAGAGGGAATATCAGAAATATTTAAAAAGCATAGCGGGACTGTGAAATACCTCAGATACAGAAAGCAGCTTCAGGAAATCATCAGGGAGGTATGCGTCAACTTTCTCCATCAGCTTCTCAGGAACTGGGTCCCCCCTACAATTTGGATAGTAGAATTTCAGAGGCATATAATAATTAAAGGCTGTGATACAGTAAGTAAATAAATAAAGTGAACATATATATATATATATATAGCAAAAGAAATCTTTATCTGAGAAATTGTCTCGTTGTGTACTATGGGAACAATATAGCAGAATGAAGACATAACAAAACTAGATAACGAACATGAAGTTTAAAGAGAACTGATCTCAAAGTGCTCCCAAAAATAAGAAGGGTGATGAGAAAATTTCCCATTATGTAGCAATGAGTTCCATATAATAATGAAGTTTTAACCATGGAGAAAAAGCTTTTGGCTGCATAACAGTATAAAAGGACCGGTCAAGGTCTGCACAGCTGGTATTGCTTTCATGATTACAACAGACATGGAGTATGAACACAATGAATAAAACACAGTATCATTGGTTGCAATTAGGAGAAAGTAAAAGAAATTTTCTCTTAACATTTTAAATAGAATCATTATTGGTGTCAAAGTTGATCAGCAAACATCATTCCTAATAGATAGTATACCATTTTTTCAAGCGGCTGTAAACATCCTTCTTCTTCCGACTTAGAGTCCTCACAACGAGTTCCCATTCAGCTGGAATATCTAATTTGCGGGAGACAAAATCGATGTCCATACCATTGGCAAAAGAACAAACCTGTTCAACATCTGAAACAGTTGAATTACCAAAGGAAGGATAGGGTAAACTATGAAGGTTTTGTAGCTGCTCTCCCAAAAAGGAAGCTAAGTTAAGCGTATCTTCCAATGATAGTTCATCTCTTCTGCAATAGAAATTGAAGGAAGATTAATAACAGCAATCTACTTTTCACATCTCTCATTCTAGAAGTTAAGATCCATGTAAAATTAAGATTACTTACAACTGTGCAAATATCTTTCCTTTGCAGCGCTTCGTTATAAGATAAGGCCAGATACAAGAGGATCCAGCAGAACTCCCAGGTCCAGGTTCTGGAGACCCAACTTTTCTATATTCAAATAATTTCTTGCTCCGTACACCAAAAGGGAAAACACCACCTTCTCTCTTTTCTGGAATCAAATTGCACTTTGCAAGCACATCAGGAACTTCTTTACCATCCCAAAAATCAATTTTGTAAGATCCATTTTCCAAGTGCAGAATCCCACTAGCCAATACAGTAGGAATGTGGTTTTTCAAAGGGGAATTAACTTCACACAAAGTGTTGTAGAATTCAAGCTGCATGGAAGGAAACAAAAAACTTAACAGTATGTAAAAGATCCATGGACACAGAGTATAAATTTGCACATATACCTACCTCAGTGCCTAAACCGTGTATTGAAGATTCCAGCCCTTTTTCAACAAAGATTTTAACCACATATTCATCCATGACATAGACCTGTTGCAGAAGAATCAATCAAAACTACAAAAATAAATCTATTTTGATTAAATGACCGCTTATAAAAATGTTAGTAAAAAACAGTTGACATAAAGATCAGATACATCAAAATTCTTATCAACGTACTAAATAAACAGCACTCAGATCACATGCTGCAGAAGACCACTATGTAGGAGCCATTCACAATCTTTTAGTATTCCTTAAAAAGCTCTGAGATCTTATATCAAGGTTAATCGTGTCCAATGGAATATGGGTATTATGACACTAGAGAAAAGCATGCCACTCAACAAGGTAATGACAAGTTCTGTAGTATCCTTGAATTATTTCTCAAAAATCAGTTCCCCTAACTTCCAATATGTAAAAGAAAACAAAATTTAAGAGATGAATGGAAATGACAAAAGAACTCACAGGATTGCTGCCTGTTCCAACAGGAAGCTTCTCATCATCGTTGGGAAAAGGCAAACTGTGAAATGAGCAGATTTTCACCAAGCACTCCAACCATTTGTCAGCATTCATTGCAAGACATGCTCCCTAAGACAATTAAAGGAGGAATTCAAAAGAAGTTAAAAACAAGATAAAATATATTTTTAATAGTGAACATATATATCTTACGCCAAAGATTTGGACAAAGCATAACAACAGGAGAAATCACTAGCGAACACCACATAGAGCATTTAGGAGAGAAGAAACTAGCCAGGCATAGTAATACAAAAATGTCAGCAGAGGGTTTTCCTTACCATGCACTTCTAAACAATCAATATGATATTTGTTTTCTTTTTCAACAATTTGCAATCAGAAACAACCTTTTTCAGTATATTCCTAGTTTATCTCTCTTAAAACATATGGGTCCCTATAACAAATTTCTCAGTCAACTCATCCATTGGAAGTGAAATCGAAGAAAAAGAAAGGACTGGATTGGTGGGATGAACACACTAGTGTTAAAAATGTAACATACCTTCCAAATCAGCTCTCTCATTCCCGGTTTTCTAACCCAAAGCTTGAAAAGCCATTCCCTCATTTCTCGTGGCCCTATGCAATTTCCTGAGCTCCATGGAGAAGTATAGTGGTCCTTCTCTCTATCCAAAAACATGGCCAAGTAACTTATATCATAAGGAAAGCAATGTTTCCATAGATTATATCTTTTAGAAACACCATTAGCTATTCCTTCATGATTTTCACTCTCTTGAGAACTTGGAATTTTAACCCGCTTCTCTTTCCTTGTCAGATCTGAATAATTAAAATTGTCTCTGTCACAGGACATGTTCTTCTCCATGTTCTCTAAACAGCTTTCATCAAGAGCAAGCAATCCAACACGGCAAACTCCCTTATGCTGGTAACCAGGAGCCATATCCAAACATACAAATTCAAAGTTTCTGGGGTTTACAAAATTTTGTGTCACAGCAACAGTTGCTTCCAGATTCAGGACACAGTGCCACCATCCGCTTGGAACAAATATCGTCACCCCAGGCAGCTGAGTACACTCAATTGGCTTGTCTTCATCAGCAAGAAGTGGATAATAATCTAGCCACCACTGCACACACACACACACACACACACAAAGGGTATTCAATATGCGTAACCTCGAAAAATGTGACAAGAACTAGGAATGCAAGCAGAGGGCCATAGTTTATATACCTGTAATGATGATGGAGTATCAATGTTGACATCACCATCTTCATCATTTACATGCACTGTAACACCCAAAGGAACTCTTCCAGGAGGATACAATGCCCACCTGTCCAAAAAACTAGAGATATGACATCCAGGACAGTAATATTTCACCTATACGAAGCAACAAAAGAGAAAAAGAGACAACCTTATGCAGCTGAAATTCAATTATCATGCAGTTTATGGTACATCATGAACCAATTACCAGGACACAAGTATAACGTCAAATAAAATGGATAAAAGAAAACATTTAAAATAGTTGCTCTAGGGTATTCCGAATGAGTTCCACAAACAGACTTGTACTAATATTAAGTTTGAGGCACAATATGTGAAATCCAAAATCACCGCATGGAAGCATTTTATAAATACAGAGGTAATATCTCAAAATACCTTTTACGACCACAAAGAAGAGTATTCCAGGCACTGGTAAGTGCTGGATCAACGTGCCAAGAGGCACCAGACCTCTCTGGCCCAATGATAAGCCATCTGAATGGTGGCCGACTATCTCTATCTAAAACATCAAAGAAGTCTTCTTGAAACATTTGGGGCACACTGTAATCTTCCAACAAGCCAGGTGCAGATTCTCCAAACTACATGGCAACCAATCAAAGTATAAAGAGGATCCTACCCAGTTTTCTAAAAATGGGCATTATTTCATTATGCTCCCATTGCGAAAAAAAACACACATATATAGACACACAAAACTGTAAGCATGCTATTCCTACCCTAAGCTCACCTTTTCATCGAAAATATAAAGAGGATCCTCATCATGCTGTTCCTTCATGTATGATACATAATCCTTGAATTTCATTGAAACTTTTCCAGGGGTTCTTTGAGAAATCTTGAATGTTGTATCTCCATATTTGAGCAGTAGTTTGTCAATCGTCCAATTATTCCTAGCAGGCCAACACTCGGCCAATCCAGTGAGCAAAACCTGGCATGTGAATAGACAAGAACCCCATCCAAAAAGTGCAATTAGTTATGCAGTGGCTCATTTACAGATATAATGCAACTGATTTCTTCTAAATACTCAACAAAGTACTAATTTCTATGGGATACCACAGCATACCATTAGCAGCAGTAGTGACTAGTGAGTTCAACGCAATTTACTGAAAGCAAACATAAAATATATAGAGCATACCGGTTTCTCCACATCATATTCCTGATCAAACTGTTCCATTGATAACTCATTTGGTCTTTCAACATTTCCTTTGTCAAAAGCAAATCCGTCTAATGTAGTATGGCACCTATATAGTCTTTTGTATAAGAAAAAAGAGCTAAATCCTACACCCAAAAAATTGATAATAAAAATTATTCAAATCCATACAATCATTTAAATAAAATAAGTACTTATTTTCATGAAGAAAAAAAACATGAGGTTAGTTACCATCAAACTGCAATGGTTTTCTTTTGTACTCAATACATTCACTCGGCAATGTCTCTCTGCATCAAAAATAAAAACCCCAAAAAATTAGATACTAAAATGCAAATTATAAGAAATATAAAAACAGGAATTAAGTTTGGGTTGCAAAGAGCAAAATACAAATGCAAAGTAGTCTTTTTCCAGGAGCCTTTGTATTGAAGTGGACCGTTAACTTTCTTGAGGCAAAGGCTCATCCAAAGCGGCTCTTCATTGCAGAATATATACATAACACTAACAAATTGAAATACCAAATAAAGAAAAAAATTAGAACAGAAGGAAGATTAAAAAGTTAGAATACGGGAATTGGGGAAAATAAAATAAAAACCTGCTGACACAAGCGAGACGAGCTATGTCCGGGGGAGTTAGGTAATCTAACATAGCGCAGATGAGTTCGTCAGGGAGCCCGCTTAAGTTGCCGAGAGCATCGAGTCGACGATCTTTGAGCTGTAAATTCTGGGATTCGTGAGAAATTTCCATTGATGAGTGTTCTTTTTTGGGTTTTTTTTTCCAGAGGGAATGAATTATGGGGATCGAAGCAAACAGATAACCGAACACAGAGTTTTGTTTTGTCTATTAAACAATTATGCTTGGAAACAACGCGAAGCGTGTTGCCACGTGGCGACCGAGTCTACTTTAGGAGGCAGTCTAGTTCTCCCGCGTTCCATTCGCAGGATTTCCTCACGCGCTTCCCTCTAACGTTTCTTCTTGCTTAATCTTTCTTTTTACTTTCAATTTTTCTGAGATAATTGCATTAGGAATCCTCAAACTATGCCCAGATTTTATGTTTGTCTCGAAGCTTCACATATTATAATTTTATCTTATCTTCAAACTATCATATGAATCGATCAACATATTTGTTACCTTTTCCTCAAATATGTCTTATCTTGTTCATACAACCTTCTTTTTCAATCGTTTATTAGAACGTTTCTTAAGTTCTCTTCCATTATCTCGTCATTTAGCACGTCGATCACCCATTTCAATTATTTTTGCCCTGCCTAGATAGCAGAGATTTTGCTAAAACAAGTTATTGTCGGGTTCTCCATAATTTCGCCAAAGCACGAGCTATTCTTCCAATTCGCATCATAAACCCAGAATTCAAGTGATATTATAATGTCAATATATAATTAAGATATTTTAAAATCTAAAATATAATTTAATAACGCTGCAATTGACTCATGTTTTATTTAACCGTACTAGTATGGTTGTTTTAGTTTAAATTTATTATAATTCTTGAGTTAGGAAGTGCTTCAAGCACCATAGATATAAGGAGTACGAGCGTTCAATGTCGAGAGATTGAGATTTATATTTGAACAAATACTATTTTGTATTTATCTCATATTAATAAAAAAGATTATATATGTTTAGATTTTTTAAGCTAAAGTGTTTTTTTTAAAGAGAGTACTTTGTATTATAATCGTAACAAAGTACACCGCCTCAATGACCTCGTTAAAAAACTTCCCTATCCCTAAATAAAGAAAAAAGGGTGAACCTTAAGGTGGAGAGGAACTTATACAAGTATAGCTCTTACATCGAACAATGAATTCCCCAAACTACAACCGAACTCATACTAACACCAGAATAAAAACGTAACCTTGCTCGCCATCAATCCAAGGTAGAAAAGAACAACTAGAAAGCAATCACCTCGGCGATGAAATGAATCAACTTAACCAACTTGCAATAACGCCCAGATTACCAAAACCTACTAAAATATGGGGCTTCATACACTACTTTAACCCAAACTTTATCAATCTGCAATCCAACTCGATAATAATCCACTCCCAATATCATACCGACACCAATACAAAAAAAAGCATATATAGGGAATTATAACAAAATGGACAGCACGACAAACCGCAAAAACTCAGCAGCAAGTTGAAACATCAACTCATCAACAAAACCAAAATCATCGGATGTAAAATACCTCTCCACAGGGGAATAAACAAAGACCTGCAATAGCCTTTCAAACGAAACCAGGAAAAAAAACACAGCAGCAGTACTGGATAGAATCTTAAAAAAAACTACCTGCAGTAAAAAGCCTCCATAGAAATATGATCAACAGAACCCAGCGTTGAACCTAACTCCAATCTGGAACAAACATGTATTAAAAATTTGATCAACAGAAAAGGCAGTACCCTTGAACCTAACTTTGTTTTTACAGATCCAAATATTCCAGATCAGGCCAAAAAAACCCAAAACCCATAATTCCCGAACTTTTCTTCTGATTTTCTGCTGTGTCCATACCTCAAGCAACACTTTAACCTTCCTAGGGAATACTAGATGAACCTTCCATACACTACACCAGCGTTGCCAAACTTTCCACACCACATCACAGTGGCACAAAACGTGATCTACTGTTTCCAAGTCTTGATTGCAAAAAACAATAAGAGATTTTTTAAACTAAAGTGTTGATTTGGGGGGCGCCATGAATACCAAAGCTCGGGGAAGCCATGGAGAAGAAGAATTAGTGGGCTTTCCCCCTTTTCACCAAAATGCATGTTCATGCCATTCGCTTTAACTACTGTAAAATAGGACAGGGGAACGATATCGAAAAAATTAAAAGAAAATAATTTAAATCGAATTATGTTTAGGGATGGCAACTCAACCTGAATCCGATGGGTTCCTACCCGATCTGACCCGATCGGGTCGAATTTTTTTAAAAAAATTTCGGGTTCGGGTCTGGTCGGGTCGGGTTTTTTTTTAAATGCACTGTTCGGGTCGGGTCGGGTCGGGTTTAGGGTAAAAAAATCCGACCCGACCCGAAAAATATATATAATTTTATCTTATATATTTAGGGATAATTACAATAATATCCCTCCATATATAATTTTTTTCAATTAAGTCATTGTTTTCATTGAATTAAATTTTTTTTTTAATTTCGGGTCGGTCGGGTCGGGTTTCTAAGTCATATATTCGGGTCGGGTCGGGTGAAACATTAATTTTGTCGGGTCGGGTCGGGTCACGGGTGGAGAACCCTTTCTTCTCGGGTCGGGTCGGGTGGCCCAAAAACCTGACCCGACCCGACCCATTGCCATCCCTAATTATGTTGTTTAAATCAGTTAAGGTTTTATTTTGCGGTTCAGTTTTAATTTGGTTTAGATGTATAATTTCATAACTTGGTTCGATTTTGATTTTTTTTCCCTATGAAATCTGATTGCTCAAAATCAAACTAAATTTAAAAAAATAATGATCCAAATTAAGTATATTTTCAATTTGTTATATGCTTATACTCGATTTAAGCTTGAAGTTTATTTTTAAGCCGTTGAATTTAAAAAATAATGAAAATTAAAAATCATAAAATTAAATTGAATTAAATCAAACTAAACATAAATTTTTACTTTTTATAACATTCAAAAATCATATAATACAATTTGATTTATCTATTATTAAAAAAATAAATCGAATCAAACCGAATCGAATATATCTCTATTACAAACTAATTTAGAGATGGTACATGAGGAAAAAATAATATGAGTAAGAAGAAAGACTACTCATTTTAACTTTAAAGCTCCGATTAAAATTTATTTATTTAGTAAATTTTAAATATGAAACACAACTATATTATTAGTAGAGTTATTATTGGGTGGGGGAGGTGTTCCGAAATAGGGGTGCACAAAAAATCCGAATATCTGATTTTGCGAAAAAAATATCTGAAACCGGATTTGGGAAAAACCGGTTTTTTTAACCGGATCGGATTTTTTTAAACCGGTTATTTTAACCGGTTTGGAAAAAAAACCTAGACCGGTTTTTTTACCGGATAAAAAACCGGTTTGAAAAAAACCGATTAAAAACCGGTTTTTATCCGGAAAAAAAAACCGGTCTGGGTTTAAAAAACTAGCCGTTAATATAGCCGTTGGGGAGGATTTTGTGACCGTTTTTGACCATTTTTTCTTTAAAAAATTACCATTTTACCACCCTAAACATGTATAAATAGGTTGGGGATGTATTTGGTTGATTACAAATTTCTCAAATCTTATTACACAACACTTAAACATCTCTCAAATCTTATTTTTTTAATTTTTTGTTCATCATGAGTAACATGGCTGAATCTTCCGTCGGGGGAAACCTTGAAGTCGTGAGAGTGATCGAACACACTCGAAACAAAGACATTTGTAATCACTACGATTTATGTGAGATGTCAAATGGCTCGAGGAGGGCGCGTTGTAAACTTTGTCTAAAGTTTCTTGCATCGGAAGGAAACACAACGTTGAAGAACCATTTGACAAAATCATGCAAGGCACTTCGCTCAAGATCGGATCCTAGTCAATCGAATCTTACACCGCAAGGTGGTGTTTTTTGTTTACGACAACGAAAAAATTACGAGAAGCGTTTACAAAGTTCGTGATTACAAAAGCATTGTCGTTCGACCACTTTGATGATGAAGATTTCACGACAACAATTCAACAACTAATGCAACCACGTTATACTCAAGTAAGTCGTACTACCCTTAGAAGAGATGCTATAAAAATGTGGCGTACGGCGAGGGAAAAAATGATTTTAGGATTCAAAGAACACCGTTATGGTGTGTCGCTTACATGTGACGTTTGGAGTTCCCCTCATAATACCGGAAATTCTTTTTTAGCCGTTAAGTCACATTGGTTAGATCAAGATAATTGGCAAATGATGAAAAGAACAATCGCGTTTGAATTATTCGGTGAGCCGCATACCGGTGCTAATTTATTTACACTTTTAAAAAGGGTAATTTGTCTTTATAAATTAGAAAATAAAGTTTTTTCTATATCATTTGATAATGCATCGAATAATACAAACGCGGTTCCAAGATTGAAAATATTACTTTCACCGATTTTAGACGGTGCGTTTTTTCATACCCGTTGCGTTGCACACATAATTAATTTATCCGTGCAAGCTGGTTTGGAGGTTATTAAGCTGATTAGATTATAATTTAAAACAATGATAAAATCGATTCTTTGTAACAACAACAAAAGACTAAATGATTATAAAACGATTTTGTAAGTCCGTTAATAAAAAAGCTTTGGGTCCTAATTTGGATTGTCCAACTCGTTGGAACTCAACTTGGATGATGATGCATACTGCCTTAAGGCAAAGGGAAACATTGCAAACATTTCACGATCGGCTTTTCGAGAGGGGTCATGTCTCAAACATTTATCCGGATTCGAGTTGGGAAACTATAGCCAAAATAACCGATTTGCTTGAGGTTTTTAAAAATGCAACAACTTTTTTATCCGGTGTTTATTACCCTACTAGCTCGTTGGTTCTTAATCAAATATTTTTGTTGGCTACCCAACTAAATGACTTTGAATTTGAAACCGAAGTTTTTCAAGAAATTGGCTTTGCAATGAAGGAAAAACTTTTAAAATATTTTAAGGAGATTCCCCCCATTTTTACTTGTGCCGCCGCTTTAAACCCAACGTTAAATGTTGGTGGGGTTGAAACACTAATTGAACAAATTGCGTTTGCTTTTAATCTAACCGATGATGAACCCAACTTTGTCAAAAACCAAATAAATTATTTTAACAAATGTTTTCGAGACATGTTTGCAATTTATTTAACTAAATACAGATCAAGTAGTGTAATACACGATCAAATGAGAATGAATGCGGAATCATCTAGTAGACGTCCAAGTAACATAAATTTAAATCTTTTTAACACTCTTGTAAATTCCCAATCCAAACGATCACGTACTACCACCCCAAGTAGCGAGTTGGAAAATTACATGTCATGCGATTTTCTATCAAAAATGACATTTGAAGAGTTTGAAAGTTTGGATATTTTGGCTTGGTGGAAAGAAAAGGAAGCACAATTTCCGATTCTAGCCGCCATGGCCCGTGATTTACTAACCGTTCAAGCTTCTACGGTAGCTTCGGAATCCGCTTTTTCTGTTAGTGACAGGGTTATATCGCAACGGAGATCAAGACTAAGTCCCGAGTCGGTGGAAGTATGCATTTGTTTAAAGGATTATTTGGATGGAGCGGCTCGTAAGCAACATATCACCACCCTAGAAATGCAATTGATGCCGATTTGGAAGCAAACTTACACATTGAAGAAGTCGAACTTGGAATATCCCCTCCAAACGAAGAAGGCGAAGATGATGAAGAAGAGATGGCAATGTAGTTTATTTTATAACTTTATTTCAATTATCGTAAACTTTGTTTCAATTATCGAACTTGAAGTTTTTAAGTATTTGAATTTATCGAACTTGGAAGTTTTTAAGTATTTGAATTTATCAAACTTGGAAGTATTTAAGTATTCAATTATTTGAGTTAATAAGTATTTCAATTAAGTATTGAATTTATCGAACTTGAGGTTTGATGCTTTCTTTTTAATTCTCTCTGATTCTAGTTGCTGATGTTCTTGTCTTTGATTAATGGCTTCTAAGCTTGCTTAAATACACCTTGAATCACTTCTGAACGTTAGTGATAATTAATGAAGATAATATAGCCGTTTAAGTGTGAAAACATTTAATAAAAATGCTTGGAGCGTGGGGGAATCGGTACCCTCTCATAGGGAATCGGTTTCCTCTCATAGGAATCGGTTCCCTAAGTGTAAAATTCAAATATTTCGACCGTGAATAGGGAATCGGTACTCCCTATGGGGGAATCGGTTCCCTCCGAGCATTCTGGAAATCTCGGAGCCAAACCATTCAGTGAGGAATCGGTACCCCCTTGGGGGGAATCGGTTCCCTATGAGCAATCTGGAATATTAAAATCGGTTTTTTTATAACCGGTTTTTTAAAAAAACCGGTTTTTTAAAACCGAAACCGATTACACCGGTTAGGATATCCGGCCCTCCAAACCGGTTAGAAACCGAACCGATTATTTTATAAACCGGTTTTTTTTCTATAGAAAAAAACCGGATCAGATTGAAATCCGACAAATGTGCACATCTATTCCGAAACCTAAAACAGAAGTCAGTGGCCGATGGAACATTGAATTTTGAAAATAGAGTAATGTAATGAATAGTAAGATCCAAAGACAGAGTCACATGATTACATTTACGCGCGACTTCACTAGGTTTTGATGTCGTTAACCTTAATTCCAAATCTTAATCTTCAAATTAATTGTTTATTGGATTTAGATTATGATATAATTTATTTTTCAAAGGTTTGTCTGATTTGGTGACCCTAAAAATAATCTATTTTGTTATATAAATCACTATTTTTATACTAAAATCCCTAATGTTTTAATAAATGACTTTAAGTTATAAAATCATTTATTAATTTAATAATATATGTAAAATTCAATTTTATATTTATTTTAAAATAAATTATGTATTTAATCACTCAATTATTCTAATATTTTTGGTTTCATCATTTAATTTTTTTTTTTAAAAAAATCATACTTCAAAGCTACTAACGTGATGAATTTTTTAAATTTTTCTTAAAATGTGTTGATATTTTTTTAATAATGGTAACCAAAACGTAACTTTAAATGTAACCTTGAAAGACAAATAGTTAGGTAACTAAAACAAAACCACTAGAATAATTAGATGACTAAATACATAATTTGTTATTATATATAAATTCTATTTTATATCACTACTGTACTTGGAATGTGGGCTCAAAGACAAAGGTCATTGTTTTAGAATAGTAATTGACTCACCCGTACAAACACCTTTGATTTCAACAGGCATTTTTGCCTAAACAAGTGGCCCCATCTCCCCTATGAATCCAATAGGGTCCTTTGCATGCCAAGTCTTATTTACGCAGGAGACAAAATCCATGAATTCTACACTATACAAAGGCATTCTGTAGATGATGAGGAACAAATCACACAAATTCACATTCAAACATAGAAATACATGGTTTCATTTCTCATATTTAGAATTACCATATATCTAGAACCTAAGGAGATGGTGGCCAACCTAACATTCCGGCATCACCACCGATTCCTTCATAGAATCTCAGTTCAAGTTCCTCCAGTCTTCCTTCACCATGCCACATTTCATCATAAATGTCATCATCGTCATCCTCGTCATAGTTGCCCATTTCAAACTCCCAGGCCAAATACTCGAAACTGTCTGAGAAGTCCGAGCAATCATCCCATTCACCCATCTCATAGCAGTCCATGACCAGAGGTCCCAGAACCTTCAATTTTGGGAACTTTTCCTTCACAAATTGATCATCGAGTTTCACATCCCAGCAACCTCTTAAATCCAAAAACTCAAGCTGGGGACAGCCGGATAGGACTTTCAGAACACTTGCGGTGCTGATAAGATGATAAGCCATCTCGAGGCGCTTGAGCCTAGGCATCGTAGCAGCTATGGCATTCGCCTCGTCATCCTGTGAGAGTTTGCCTGCTGCATCTAGCGGGTGCATGTTGCGGCACAAACTAACTAGCAACTTACAGTGCTTTCCAATGGCCTCTAAAGCATGAGCACCAATTTTACCACAGTAACTCAAATCCAAACAAGTGATTGAGGAAAGCCTTCCAGCAGTTTGTGCAACAACTGAATCACTCATTTCACTTCTCGACAGTCGCAAAGACCGAAGGGAACCAGCACTTGCAAAAGCAACGGAAAAGGGGGGAAAAACATATCATATCAGTTAAAAGTGTCCATTAAACAATGATCCCTTAAAAGTAAAAAGTGTGATCCTGTGTTTCTTAAAGATATTACAAATGTCTCATCGGAAATCTCATCATGAACACTGAAATTGCTGTTCAAACTAGTAAATGTAAGACTAACCAAAAACATATCATATATTACTATAATATTACTCAACAAATTAAGGAAGCAAGAATTAATGATAGGAAAAGTGTTATCACAAATGAACCAAGACTTATTATATTGCAGGCGAAGGCAATTACCAAAATGGTTAAGGGCAATTGAACTTACTTCTCTGTAATGAAAGAGAAAATCGTATCATTCTGAAGGCCGGAAACACATAACTTGCGAAGAGATCCACTGCTTCTAGTGATGAGCATTCGAAGCATCATATCAAGATGGTCCGGTTGGCATCCATTGCTCCATTCTTCAATGTCTATCTCTTGCCAACAATAGGGACCCATCACTACCGTTCTCCAGAATTTGCAGACACAGGGAATGACTGTTAGTATCTCTTGTAAGGACAGGTTGCTGAAAATTAGCCCCAATGCATCAGGGATCAGTTCATCCCATTGTCGAAAATCACATTGCTCTTCCATCTGATATAATGAGCAACTCCAATAATATTAAAAGCTAAGAAGACAAAAAAAAGGTAGCAGAAATAAATTGAAAAGATTACACAACGATAGAACAAGAAATGTGGAAATCTTTTGAAGTATATCTCGATCATATTCTAACTTATACCCGAGTTCTTGAATAACATAGCAGGATTTATAATGCAGTAATTGAGAGATTTAGCTCATTACGATGTTGCACAAACGCTTATGGACACAGGAAAGAACACAACTTTACCAAAGTGATTTCTTTTTATGCTAAGTTAAAAACAGAAAGAACAGGCAAAAAAGAGTACAACTTAGAATACAATACTGCACACACTAAGGAAACAGATTATTATAGTATTAAGAAAGGAAATTAAAACCATTCTTTAGATCCAAAAAGTTCAGAAAGAAAGGAACAAAGGAACAAAGAAACAAAGCATAATACACTTGTCAACTGGAATTAAAACTGATGTGCAGAGTGAAAGAAACGAAAATTTTACAGTTTGTATATAGATCTAAGAACCAACCAAGAAATGGTGTAGTTTCATGCTTTGGAAATCGCATAAAGATAGAACATTAAGTACCCAAAGAATAAAATTTTCGTTCTTTTGCTCAAGATTTCCCAACGAACAGAAAGAAGTAGAAAGAGTAGAAGAAAATTAAAATGGGTGTTACCTTAATTCCGTCCTTTTGATATTCAAAAGAGCCCCATTTGATTCGCTTCAAAGGCCGGATTAGAAGAGAAACGAGAAGAAAGCAGTAAAATCAAGCCTATGAACCCACCTAACCAAAGCATCAAAAGCAAGCCAGCAAAGAAGAACAAGAAAACCAGAGTAAAAAACAGGGTTTTAAGAAGAAGAAGAAGAAAAGAAAGTATGGTTAACTTTTTACCCCAGAAATTGGGTTCTTTAATGACAGATTTTGAACAGCAAAGGCATTTTGGGTTTCACCTTTCACGCCATACATTCATGTCCCTTTTAGCTGAAAGTGAAAGTGACGGAAGCATTTCATATTTTGAGTGCGATTTAAGAAAGAGAGTAATTGGGGGGAGGTTAAAAAACAAAACAAAAATGGAAAGGGATGGGTGAACCGACACGACTCCGTTAGCTTTTATGGGTTTAAGAAGGAAAGGAGGTTCTTAATTATCGGCTTACAAACTACGATGGCTCTGGATTTTCATAGTTTCTGGTTCCAATGACATCTGTACTCAAAATCTGTCTTCATTTTTTATTGGATAAACTACCCATTTAGTACCTAAACTATAACTTTTAACCTGTTTTAGTACCAAAACCTTTAAGTTTTTCAAAAATATATCTAAAGTTTACTTTTTGTTTCATTTTAATACTCTATCGTTAAAAATTTAACTCGTTTAATACTTAAACTATCAATTTTGATCTGTTTTAGTACATAAACTTTTGTTTTTATTTCAAAACTTAAGTATGATTTAGGTACTAAACGTGTTTTGGTACCTAGACTTTTATTTTTTTTAAATTAACGTCGGTACTAAAATAAAACAAAAACTAAACTTTATGTATGGTTTTGAAAAAATTAAAAGTTTAGATACTAAAATCGATTAAATTAATAGTTTAGATACTAACTACGTAGTTTACCCTTTTTTAAGTGGATAATTACATTTTTCTACCTCTTATTTGATTGTCTATTTTTACACGTTGTTCTTATTATTTTTAGTAAACTACACCCCTGACCACTTAACTATAACTGAATTCAATTCTGATCATTAATCTTTTAATTTTATCAATTATACCATTTAACTATTTAAATGATATCAATCAAATTTTATGATATTAACATTTAAAGAAGAAACTGACGTGACAATTAATAAAATTAGTATAATTAACAATTAATTAGCTTACAATCAACATCGCGATACTAATCAATAAACATTTTCTTTTTGAGGTTGGAATTGAAATCAACTATATATGGAATTAAAAAATAAATTAACTTTTTTTTTTACATTTTCCTTCCAAATTTCCACTCAATTATGCATACACTTAATTTAATAACTCAAGTTATAAAAAATACTTATTGGTCCAAAGTGGCAAGCCGAAGTGCCGAACCATCTATTCACGTGCCTTGCTGAGCACAAATATACCATTTGTTTTGTCTTGGGTCTGGGCTTAATACTAGCCCACGAGTGACCCTTGCGGATTGTTGTTTAGTTAAATAGTAACAAAAATGAATCTCGAATCGGAAATGTATATTTGATAAAAATGTTATTTTTATATCTTACTACATAAATTAGTAATTAATTAATTTTTAACTGTTTAAATAATTTAATCTGAAAAATAGTAAAAAAAATAAGCCTTACTTATTTTGAATAGATATTTAATTTTTAAATTTAGATTTATAACGATCTTTCCTTATATTATGACAAATTATTTTGAAATTTGTATAATAATTTATATAACAATTAACATTTTCCACGTTAATATTTATCTACCAAACGTGACATAATGTTATATTCACCATTAATACTTTATTGTAATTTATCGTCTTAATATTGTTTGATTTTGTTTTGGATGTCATATGTTCAAATGTGTTTAAATACAATTATTGTATTTGATTTAAGGTTTGAGATTATAAATATTTTTAATATTATATTTAAGAAAGGAAAAAATGTTAATTATGTCATTGATCCTTATACCTAGACTAATTTTGAGATTTAGTCCTTAACATAAAAGGCTACAAATTATGATTTATTTTTTCAATTTTAAAATGTCAATTCATTCAGTATTTTTTTGGTCAAAAATTAATTATCTTTGACATGTGAAATAATATATGATTAAAGGAAAACAAATAGTTTTAAAAAAATGTTGTCTGCTAATAGGGAATACAAAGTAGACGTTCAATATTTATATAGAGAGGAAAACCTTTTTATTAAAATAAAACCACACTCAAATATAGGAAAATAATTTCTTTTCTTTTTTTGGACAAATGTATACAGAGTTGAGCTCGTAAATATACATAATAACATAAAAACCCATCACTCTTCCATGCCACTTGTGTTTGCTCAAACCAGTGTTTTGCATGTTGATGTTTGAGGATCCCACATCGCCGGGACCAGATATTTACGCCCGTTAACCCCAACGGCGTTATAGCTAGCCCCCGTGGTTTTGTCCACCAAAACCTCTCCAGGATACCCCGGGTACGCCCCTTTCCCGAATATCCCCGTACACGCGCTCACCGCCTCCAGTGGCGCTTCCGCCGGCCCCTGGAAGTACCCGCTATTGAACGGATTCGTCACGGTTCCCGCCAAAACCGTCGCCAGATTAATCACCATTCCGTCAACCCCGACGTCGCCGTTAGGAGCAACCAACGGCCGAGTTTGCGGTCCGTACTCGGGTTGATGAAACGGCCACGCGCAATAACCCGGACACTGGCTCACCGAGTTACCCACCCAAGCGTAAACGAACCTTTGCTTCTTAACCCGACCCGAACCATGTGTCCCGCACCTGCTCACGCAGAACCCATCAACGGCAACGTCAGCGGAAGTCAAAAGAACGTTGACCCCTCTTCCGCCATTTCCATGTCCGGTTTTGGAACTCAAAGCTCTGAGTTGGGAAGTTTTGAGAGCCTTCCCTAAAGAGTACTTAACATCAAGGATTTGTTTCCCTACAACGAAGTCACTCGAACCACCTCTCTGGTACTTCTCAGTTGTATGCCACCACGAGGAAACCGATGGCGGTGAAGGCGTCTTTGCTGTGCTGAGGGAGTTGAGAAAGTCGACTATAATGGATCGGTGTGAAGAGGAGAATTTACCGTACCAAATGAGATTAACGGTAATATTACCCTTCAAGAGAGGACCGTTGTGGTATTTAAGAAGGGTGGGTTGTTGTTGTTGAAGGAGAACCCAGGGTTTTCTAGCGGTGGCTAAGGAAGGGGAAGGTAAAGAGAAGGAGAAGAGGAGCAAAAGAAGTAAAAAGAAAGGAATGGCGCCATTGCTAGCCATGATGGAAACTAACTTAGCTGGTTTGGGAGCTGTGGAAGTGAGTATATATAGGGGTGAAAGAAATAGGTTGGATTGTTGGCGTTTAAATGGAGGCAGGGAACGTAGAGTTGGCTCTTTCGGTTTTATTAAACCAATTTTCACTAACAAAAACCTTTTGTTTAGTATACTTATTAAATGTAATTTTTAAAAATTATACTCCTATATATACAAAAGATTGTTAATATTTTAAATATAATGATGGTAATGGATCGGATCAGATCAGATTAGATTTTTTGTTCACCTAACTTAATTTCGAATATTTAAATCTTCTACTCGTATCTTATCCGTTTTAGGTTTAGAAAGGTTTTGCCTAAACCAAAATTTAAACTTATTTTTAGGTTAAAATTTGTACCGACTCCATTAACCCTGACATATATATAAATATATATACATGCATTCATTTTTATTATGTAAGATAATAGTTGAATTTAAAAAAAGGAGTGTTCTTATAATTATTCCTAATAGGATGACTATAAAGGAAAATTACTCCTATATACTAACAAAAATCACGACTTGACTTAAATTCATATTTTCAAAATAAAATATCGATATAGTCTAATTGGATCGAATCGGAATTTATCGAATCCAGATAACATTATCATCCAAATATATGCATGTTTAATGATATTTTATTAAGAGAAAAAATGAGTGTGAAATTAAGAGACACAATTAATGTAAATGGAAAGGGGAGAGATGCGTTGAATGAAGAACGCGGATGAAGTTAATTGTGAGGTTTTGGTTATTAAACTGCCATACGCGCTGTTTTCCCTTCACATTTAATTTACAACTGTCTTTGCCTCGTCACTCAATTGAATTACACATTTATTAGGATGAGAAAATGATAAACATCAAACTTCACAAACTTTCCATTTAGTTGAAGGTAATTTGGCGTTGGCATCTTTTAATACAATATTCAGTTAAACCGCTCAATGATTAACCTTCAAATACCTTATTATATTGTTGAAACAATACTTTAACCAAAACCATATTATATATAATCTATGATGCATTCCAGCTAGTTTCATTGTATGAAATATAATTATCTATCAATCCCCACATTGTGGATTAATATAGGAAAAAAAATGTTACAAAAATTTAAGTTATCCAACGGTTTTCCAAAGCCATTCATGAGGTTAGAAGGCAATGATTAAAGCATCAAACTGGGTCCATTCTAAAATCCTCATCTTCTCAAGCATCTTGTGAATGTGAATGCCTTATTTTGAGGTTAATAATGGCGGATGGATGCTTAGGCTTTCATAGCAAGAAGCTATCAATGCTTAAACATTTTGAGTCTGTTTATTTTACGTCCATCCAACATTTTTAAGTTTCAAAATATAATTTTTTTTTAAAAACGAATTCAACTAGCGTTTTTGGGGATAAAAAGTGATACATTCATATTAGGTGACTCGAGCTATCTAATATTAAAATAAAATATATATTACCATAAGACCAAATTAATAATGATAAAAGAAACTAAAAAAATCTCTATCATTATATTAATTTTTAAAATATATTTTATTATAAGGTAAAATACCTCAAAGATTATAAAATTATTGACACGGACGGAGCTTAGTGAGGGGTTAAGAGGGCTCCGGCCCCTGTTAAAATTTGTATATTCAATATAATTTTAATCTAATAGTATTTTGGTTCATGTAAAAATAAATATTTAAAATTAAAAAATATATGGATTTATTATATATTTAATCAAGTAAGGACCGAACTAAAGAAGGATAACCTCGTGTTCTAAATAATTTTGGTTTAATAACAATTTAGGTCATTGTAAGTTTAAATACTAGACAAATTAGGTGTTATCTTGTGAATTTTGATGGGTTTTTTATTATTATTTATTAATCTAGGGTGAATACAAAGTAATACATGTACAAACACTCTCTATTATTTGACAATGGATGCTCATACCCCTACATGCGCAATGCTCGAACTCGATATCAATCAAGCTATTGATCTTGACTGTTAAAGGAATTATAATGTGAAAAATAAATAAATTTGTATAATAATATATTTGGTTCTCATAATCTCATTACTTACATATTCTACCAATTTATTCTTAATTCTAATTAAAAACAATTTAATAATCAACCAATGAGGTAGTGATATATGTTACGATCTTATTGGTAAAAATAAAGAAAATTGAAATGTTTTCAGCGCGACTCAACTTAGATCATAAAGTGTAGGCATGCCTAACTACTAGTCAAATTTAATGCTTGATTCATGGTTGATAACATCTTGTATGTAAATCATATTATTGGTGAAAATTAAAAGGGGGAAAAAACATAGGTGGACTTAAGTCATGGGTATAGATACGCCTAATCATTGAGTAAAATATAATGTTTAGGGTTTAGTGACCTAATTGATGAAAATTGAAAGTTTAGTGATTTAATTAATAAAAGTTTCTATTTCGTGGTCAAAATAGAATTGATCTAACGATTTAGTGATCTCTCAGGTAATTTACCATTTATTATTAAACAGGTGTTATATATAGTGTTTCTGTTAAATTTTTTTTTTTTGCGAACTCCGGGTGTTTTCCATTTATCCGTTAAGGATTTAAGCAGAGACTAATTTTATCGAATTATATAACTTTTTATGTTATAAAACTGTGTTACAGCCCTGAGGAAAAAGAAAGTGCACTCTTTCGAATTGAACAACTCTAGAACCTAAGTAGGGGTTAAACTGATTTTGTTTAACAATTCAGAAATGATTCATTCTTAAAAGAATTTCTTAAAAAAAAAATTAGTATTTATGATTCCCATCCTTATAGATCACATGTTTTAACTCAAAACTTTTAAAGATAACAACCATCTCTTTAATCATAAAGGCTGAATTTACGAGATAATGTTGTGAGAAAAAACAATTCACGAGATAACGCGTTCCAACAATTAATTGTTGAGATAGGGTGTTTGCTACAGTTCGAATGAAGGTCGCCGGGTGTTCTGGGCGACCAATGAAGGTCGCCAGGTGATCCATGGGAGAAACAATCAAACAATAATTGTTTGGGTTAAATGCAAATTTGGTCCTCACAACTTTACACTCTCATACGTGTGTTTTAATATTTAGGGGATAATAGCATTTTCAGTCCCCTATGCTTTGTAATCTATTTGTTTAATCATTTAGTGACATTTTTAATATTTTGTTTCAGGCATGTATATTTTAATAATTATATTTTAGTCACTAGTTGTTTATTCTGTCAAGTTTGTGTATGCTTCATTTTGATCATAATATTTTTAGTTATTTCATTTTAATCACAGATTTCTTGTGTTTTATATATTTTCCTTAATTTTCGAAATTGGCCATGAAATTTGTAAACATGTTATTTTAGCCACTGTTTAGTATTTATGTTTAATTATAATTTAGTCATACATGTTTCTTGTTTATCCGACCGAGGCCATCCGAAAGCATCCGAAAGCATTCGAGAGCATCCGAGGCCATCCGACCGAGGCCATCCGAACGAGCTATGCGAGGGCATCCGAAGGCGACCGAGCGAGCTATGCGAGGGAATCCGAGGGCGACCGAGCGAGCTATGCGAGGGAATCCGAGGGCAACCGAGCGAGGGTAGGTCGCCCGGAGTGCATGGCGACCTACCCTCGCTCGGTTGCCCTCGGATTCCCTCGCATGGCTCGTTCGGATGGCCCCGGTCGGATGGCCTCGGATGCCCAGCGTGTTGGGACGTGCATGGAACATGCAATCTCTTGTAGGTCGCCGGGAAGACATGGCGACCTAGTAGGTCGCCCGGAAGGCATGGCGACCTACGGCCAACACTGTGGATTTCACCCTATTTGAGTAATTAATCTTGGGAGTACGTTATATCGTTAAATAAAAAATTCGAGAACATTATCTCGAAAGTTTTGCCCTCTTTGGCTGTAATCATTAAGATCACTTAATTCATACTCAGTCAATTTATTTAAATAACAAGAATGGGAAGAAATATTGAACTTAGAATATATGATAATTTAGGTGTGAATATTTTATTTCTGCGCACAAAAATAATTAAATAATATAATAAAAAATATTTGATACATAAATCATATAAATTTTAAGATATTCCATATTTTTAATTAAAAATAGCAATAAAAAATTAAAATCTAAATATTTAAATTTTATGATTTAAAATTAAAATAAATAAATTTTACTACACCTGTTTATCAAATAGTAACTCATAAAATAATCTGAAAAAAAATTAAACTGCCTAACATTTATTTTCTATGCACTGACATGTTTGCATGTTGTATAAGTAATTGTTTTAAGCCAAAGTAGAACAAGCGGAGGTTGTTGGGTCAAACAAAGCGGGGAGCAAGTATTTCCTGACATTGACACCATTTGCATTGTAGCTAGCTCCGGTGGTGCGGTCCACCAGAAGGTCACAGGCATAGCCGGATAAGCCCCTTTACCATATATCCCAGGGCAAGCAGCAGCAGCCTCCAGTGGCGCTTGTTGTGGACCCTGATAATAGCCATTTCCAAACGGATTCGTGGCAGTCCCGGCCAACTGGCTAGCTAGATTCAACACCATCCCATCCAGACCCACATCGTTGTTCGGTGCAACCAAAGGTGGGAACTGTGGTCTGTGGATGGGACGGTGGAATGGTCAAGCGCATTGACCCGGGCACTGTGTGTCCGAGTTACCAACCCAGATGTAAGCAAACTTATAGCCCACGCTTGAACCTGAACCTGAACCTGAATTATGGGTTCCGCACCTGCTCGAGCAGAACCCTTCGACGGCAACGCCAGCCGATGTCAAGACGACGTTAATGGCGTTCTTCTGAGGACCCTTAATTTGATGCCAATTGCAGGATTTGGTGATTATTTAATGACTTCCCGAAAGAGTATTTCTCATCAGGGATTTCTGTACCCAATGAAAGGTCCAGGGAAGGATATTTCTTGGTGAGACGATAGTATTTTTTATTGGCTTTCCACCATTTGGCCACCGAGGGTTGAGTCGGGTTGGAAGATGTAACTAGGGAAGCGATGAAATCGGATATAA